GACTGATTATCATGATAAACTCATCTCAACATTAACAACTAAACAAACCAACTCCTTGTCAGTGTCTCATACTGAGCTGTCTAACTGAAGATCAACACGGGATGACAGATTATCATGATAAACTCATCTCAACATTAACAACTAAACAAACCAACTACTTGTCAGTGTCTCATACTGAGCTGTCTAACTGAAGATCAACACTGGATGACTGATTATCATGATAAACTCATCTCAACATTAACAACTAAAGAAACCAACTGTTTCATCTCAGCTTAATTAAAAAATGGCTATATATCTGACTAGAGTTGTGAACACTGATTAAGAATATAATAAACACTTCCAACTTCTCAACTGGCAACACATACAATGTTCTGGGTAGTTGATGATTATATGATATAGAATAAGCTATTTTCGCTACATGGTATTGTATGCAAGAGTCCTCACATTACATGTTTTCATGAATACTTGAAAAGTGTGGCTTTGCAATGTCACTTAAAGAATTTGCAGTTAAGTTGAAAGGTTTTCACTGTATCACTGGTTACATCCGTCATATACATATAGTGTGAGGACTCCACAGTACTAATCTCTATATAAAAGCACATTTAATACAGACATGAATTTCAAAATCATACAATCTTTGCCTCTGTGAAGTCTGAAAAGAACTGAAAACCAGTCCTTCCATACACATGGTAGTTTTAATAGTATGAAGAAATACAATTCTCAGAGTAGAAAAAATAAGTTTTCCCTTACCAAATGCAATTTTCCCTGACTTTTTTTCAAAACTTCAATCTTCACTGACTGGTAACAAAATTCCCTGACTTTTCCCTGACCTTGAAAAACATTTTCTCCCCTGACTTTTCCCTGACCTGATTGTCTAAAATGTCTGACATTGTGCCTTTAATACTGTATTGGTGGGTTTAATGGATGATTATTTAACTAAACCCTCCTCGGTTGCCAAATTGACATGAAACGCGAGATATAACCACCACACCCTATCACAGATCAACGGTTTGTGCCATGCCGTGGTAGGGTTATTCTCTGCTGGAATTGTATTTCAACAGCTGTGAAATGTGGCTGGAGAGCCTGGAATATGGATGACAGAAAGGGAAAGGTGACATGTGGAGTTAAAGTTACCCCTCGTCAGATTTTACTGATATCAATTCATCGCTACAACTGTAAGCTTAAATTGACTAACTGACAAAATGGTCCTGCTAAAAGGTTAAAATGTGGTATGTGTTGTTATACCACACAGACACATAGACGGACACACTTACACGCTTACGCACACATACAAAACAGACAAACATATGCACAGAAACGCATTCCTTCCAGTCGCTACATATCTTCAACACGACCTCATTTCTCTCTGATATTCCGTTCAACCTGCATCTCAACACCCGCAGCACAATCTGTAATCGACCAAGCCAGATTGCATGAACCATTAATATGTGCGCTACTAGGGACATAATACCTTGGCCCTTTTAGTACCAGGTGTTAAGATCTCAGAACTAGAAAGGAATCACTGTCCGAAGACATTCAGAAACACATGTTCATGTCTCACCATCACAAAGGAATCAGTGTGCCAGGAATTTTAGAATCGAGTGTCAATCAATCTTTTATTTCATACTGAAAGGCCACAGGCCTGTAGTACAATAATTAGTCATGTGTGGGTAGTGGAACATTCTTTCTGCGAATATAAGCTTTGTGAATATACATGGACAATTTTTCTAAGTGTGTTTTCTGGAATTATACATCAATGATATAAAATTATGAGTTTCAGGATGTACATAATAATATGTCTTTGTGTATCTATTTCTTCACGATAAGTATGCTGGGCAAACACATAAAAAGCGAAATCATCTTCGACCTCGTTTAAGTTGCACATTTGACAGATTCTATCTTTTAGTTTCAATATAAAAATCATGCGCAGAGCAGCGGAATCTGGCCAGTGAAGATTTATATTTCCTTATGGTCAAAACTGAAAGATAATGTTCGGGATATATGGACACTTTTATCATTTTGTAGTAAAAGCATTTATTTGATCACGAGAGACCAATTGACAAATTTTGAAGGAATATATCTTTAAGTCTTTGTTTAACTGAACAGACAAACTGAGAATGAGATTTAACAAATTGTTCATGCCAGGCATTGCTGAAGCCGATAAATGATAATAACTGTTTTATGTCTGTTACCCAATTCCGTTTTCCATGGCTATCATATACTATCATTATATCGTAACATTTTCTTGGCAATCTGTATGAAGGCATTGTTAGTTGTTTTAACCAGTATCTAATATTGTTTACGTTTGATTTTATGTACAATCCGGTGTCTGAATAAGTAAGGAAGCCATGTCTTTGTCTAGGACCGTGTCCCATCACTGTTGCTTCCTCCACTAGTATAAGCTCGAGGCTTCACCTGTCCTACTCCTTTACGTATGAGTACCAATATCAGTATCAGTATCAATATCAGTAATATAGATGTCAGTGACAGTGAGGACCATTGACATATCACTGATAAGTAGATAAACTTTCTTGCAATGATAATTTTATGATTACACAAAGCCAAGGCGGCTGACTTTGTGTGCTGGCGATTAGGTGCCTGACTCTGACCCGGATGGGACTCAACCCAACACAAGCACTAGAATTCCTACTTGACTAAGAAAGTGTAATCCCAAATATAACATGTTACAAATGATAATTGTAAACTTTAAGGTGATTTAGCCAAGCTCTAAATGACAACGTTTAAAGAGTAAACTGATGCTTGTTTAATGAACAACTCCTGTAGGAAGATAAATAACACAAGTGTTTAAAACAGTGTGGATTAAGCGTGTAACACGACTGGTCATGGGCTATGTCAGTGTGAAGAGAACACCTACGGGTCGTGCTGAATGTACCCTGACCCATACAGGCTTGGTTGGTTTGTTGTTTAACGTCGCACTCAGCAATATTCCAACTATATGGCTGCGGTCTATAGATAATTGAGTCTGGACCACACAATCCCGTGATCAATAGTATGAGCATCGATCTACGTAATTGCGATACGATGACATTAGTCAACCAAGTCAGTGACCCGATCCCGTTCTTGACCTCTTACGACAAGCATGGGCTGCTGAAGACCAATTCTCACCCGGATCTTCACGGGTCTGACCCAATACTAGTTAATATGTTGCAAGAAGCCCGTCAGTGTTACAATTTCCAGCTCATCTGTTCGATTGTTGGTTTCCGACAAAGTATATCAACTCAGCGACCTGTACTATGAAGTTCACACATCCGTTTCTAACACAAAGAAGACCGAAGACACAGTGACTCAATAATGTAAGGGATGAATACTGATGAACGTACAAGCAATGGATGTAATCATAATGCAGCTGCTGGAGATGAAAGGATTGTGTCGAGTACAACATATGACAAAGACAAAGTAGAAGAGTACAGTACACGAAGAGCTTACCTGTGCGAACCTATACCATCTCAATGCCGCTTTATGTCAATATAGGCGAAATACTTTTATGGATGACAACGATAGGAATTAACAAAAACAACATGTGGGTATGGGTGGAAACTATTAACAGCAAGTCTGGCTATTGATGACTGATACAGAACAACTTGTAGCCAGGCTAGGCGAAGGGGTACAAAGTATACGAGGCTGATAAGATAAATTAGATGTGGGAGCTTATGTGCTCATTTGTTTCACGAATTTCTTGTAAGCAGGTGGAGTGACTTATACCTTGTTCATTTGTTTCACGAATTCATTTTACGCATCAGTGAACAACCAACAACATATATTTTATGGAATTTCCCCATTTGACTTGTATCATATGTTTTGACTCCTGCATTCGCACGTGTTTGTGACGTTGAGCAGGGTGCAACGACATGTTTACATGTTCGTGTCGGATTGAGTGAGTGAGTTGAGTTTTACGCCGCTTTTATCAATATTCCAGCAATATCACGGCGGGGGACACCAGAAATGGCCTTCAAACTGTTCGTGTCGGAAATATCACTAATTGATTGTGAATTATAAACGCATGTATATAGTTTGAATTCTACTTTCAGTCAAGATCTCGGTTGGCTATATGTATAGTTTTGTTCTTTATATCTCCTCTTGAAGTTGCCTTTGTCGCAAAGCTATAGACGTGAAAATACAATGTACTTAGGAATAATGCTATTCTCATATAAACGTTTAAAGATATCAAATGATAATTTCTGCAAATAAATGACATGCATTTATTCATAAAATGGAACTCAAACTCACAACAATGACAGTTAACGAATACAAATTATTCTAATTTTTCAACGTTTTGCCGCAGGCAAAATCACTATTAATTTATGTCTGTAAATATTTCTGAGAACCCTGTTTAAGGTAACCCCGGCTGATGTACATACGTGTTTCTATTTCAGGAGATTTCTTGAGACATTAAAACTGGCCCCCAATGTGTTGTAAAAACAAATATATCTTACAACATTTTTCTTGACTTATGAGTATCTTAATAGCTGTACTTCTACACAGCAGTCGTAACTCCAAATTGTCCGTCTTGATTGTCCGGTTCATCGATCACTTGATTGTCCGGTTCATCGATCACTTGATTCTCAGGTTTCCCCATTTCTGGTGTCCCCTTCCGTGATATTGCTGGAATATTGCTAAACGCGGCGTAAAACTAAACTCACTCTGGCTTGTTTAAACACAACCAGTACTGTGCAGCGTATACGTAAGGCGAAAAATACTTCTATTTTTGGCAAATTTTGTGAATGGCAGGTGCTACCCGTAAGGCAGGACATGCTTACCCTTACGGCGAACACCTGGTGTTATCACGGATTTTCAGTGATCAAGTCATATAATTAACACAGCTGTTTTTCCTTTACACCGAAAAGAATTTGTTTCTGACCCAAGACTGGGTATCCTTATGCCATGACGTTCTAAATTGCTTCACGTTTGTGGGCAATTTTGTTTCGTACCTTCTTGCGTGTCAAACACCATGGTTTAAACACGATGTTTCTCTATTTCAGCTACATCCAACACGATGATGTTGAAAGCCCTTGTGCTGGTGATACTCGCCAGTCAAACATCGGGGTTTAATTTTACACAAAGCGGAAACTCCTTTAGTGTAGCCCTTAAGAGCCTACTGGTACGTATACAGCGTTTGTTGTGTGTGTCAGGTTTTGTCACAGGCAAACAAATGTTGATCTTTATCGTAAATCAGTTGGGAATCGTGTAAGGGTGTGTGTGTGTGAAACAGGGTTTAACGAGTGTTATTTGCGCCCGTGCGTGTGTCTGTGTGTGTGTGTGTGCGTGCGTGCGCGTGTGGAGGTGTATGGATGTAAAGGTGTGTGTGTGCGTGTGAAGGTGTGTGGATTAAGGTTTATGTGCGTGCGTGTGTGGAGGTTTGTGTGCATGGAAGTTAGTCTGCGTGTGTGTATAGAGGTTTGTGTGCGTGTGTGTGGAGGTTTGTGTGCATGGAAGTCAGTGTGCGTGTGTGTATAGAGGTTTGTGTGCGTGTGTGTGGAGGTTTGTGTGCATGGAAGTCAGTGTGCGTGTGTGTATGAAAGTTTGTGTTTGTGTGTGTGTGGAGGTTTGTGTGCATGAAGTTAGTGTGCGTGTATGTATGAAGGTTTGTGTACGTGTGTGTGGAGGTTTGCATGCATGGAAGTTAGCGTGCGTGTGTATGCATGAAGGATTGTGTACGTGTGTGTAGAGGTGTGAGCGAAGATGCGTGTGTATGGAGTCGCGTGTGCGTGCGTACGTACGTGTGTGTGGAGGTGTACATGTGTGTGAGAATCCATACGCCAGAATCCAAACGCCAACAAATAGTACAGATAATAAACTGTAGTAATGGTGTCAGACTAACCGTTTCTAAGCCTGCTTTTGTATATGTCTTCCTGGGGCGGTGGGGTAGTCTAGTGGTTATAGCGTTCGCTCGTCACGCCGAAAGCCCGGGTTCGATTCCCCACATGGGTATAAAATGCGAAACCCATTTCTAGTGTCCCCCACCGTGATATTGGTGGAATATTGCTAAAAACGGCGTAAACCCCAACTCACTCACTCACTCACTCTTCCTTCAGTTGCTGCAACAGAGCCCAGACTCGCCATGTGTCTACGTTGGGAAAGTGACGACAGTATTCAACGAATTCCTGGGAAATTTCCACATCAAACAATCAACCGACGAAAGGATTGGTCTATCCAAGTTTCAATGGACACCAGCCAACAACACCCTTCTGCTCAGCTATGCAGATTTTTGGGTGAGTTAAATACAGTAAATAATGACCCCAGTTTGGTTGACTTACGGTTAGTTACGGTTATAACGAACTAATCATTATAATTCGTCACAACCGTCGATCGTTATAGGCATTTTCACTGAAATACAGAAGTGGCCGGCACTCACAAAACAGTTCGTTACATCCGTCAGTTCGTTAAAAACGTGTTCGTTATGAACGTGGCTGACTGTATCTCTATGGCCATCCATTTTATTGGGGGGGGACGTTTACCATGGGGTTCACCCTGTCTACAGCTTTTGTAATTAGAGATTAAAGATGTTTGTTCACCATAGCCTCAAGACTACCGACCTTTCAGAAAAAAGTGGAACCGTACACATATTTCAGAAATGTAGTCCATGTGTTACGCATAAAGTCCTCTCTAATGACAGAGAGAGAGGGAGGCGGTAAGGATAGATGGATAAAAAAAGGGATGAGAAATAAGCTAAACTCCAAGTAAAATTGCAGTAGTCACGTCAAGACGTTCATGGGCTGACTTCGCTTGTATTTCTTTGGTCCTAATCCCTTCTTTAGTGGTTCCACGTTCGGTTTCATTTCCGAACTAACTCGTCATAACGTAACTAAACGATTGCTCAAAGGGGACAAAACTCTAATCTATCACCGTCATAAACAAAACTCGCATACAAGCAATGCTCCTTCCTCGACATACGTCTTCGTGAACCTCATTGTTATTTCAATCACGTATGTGCCATAAACTATTTTGGGGGGATTGCATTACCATGGCAACGGAGTGTACGCTGTAGATAATATCGTACACACCAAGACATTTATGCACGTATTAACATACTTTTACTTTCACAGTTTGTAAAGGTGAATCAATTCTTCACTTAATTTGCCCGTAGGTGTTTCCTCATCAGCAGAATGTGTCAAGTTGGAGATGTATGTGTGACTTTGTTTTAAACGCCTAGCTGAGCAATGTGTTTTTTCGCAGTGTGAATGTGAACGGATGGTTTCTCTGGCGACGTACGTTGCCCTGTCTTTCCTGGACATACCGCGCTCTCGTGCACCTGTACTAAAAGCTTCTAACTGACGGGAACAAAACCTTCCTGCATCACGGTAATGTTACAAAGTCAGTCTGACCCAAGCTGTAATTTTACACCGCAAATAAACAAAAACAAATCAGCTTGAAATAGAAACTCTGGTTTGGACAAAAGGGATACCAAATCAGTTTGACCTGAATATGTAGAGATAAGCGTCTGGTAAATCCCACAGTGATTTCAAACAAATTCCCGTGAGATATACTCTCTTTTGTATAAGTGACAAAAATGGTAATGCTTACCTGTACGTCGACGTCTCCAGCTACTGTCGGCAAGATGAATCGCACAATATCAATGAGCATGCGTGGCTGACGTCACACAAGTTTCACGAGTGGTGCGCATCACCAAGTATAACAGATAGATACGTTTAGTTCAATTCTATTTTTTCCCATTCATGTCACTCAAAGGTGAAGGTTGATGTGTGAAGGATAATTTATCTCCTGTAAATGTTTCCGGGTTTAAAAAAATTAATTTGTACGCTTTTCTGACAGTTGTAGGAAAAGATCATTAAGCATGATAAGTGAGAGACATTTTTACACCGTTTTAAGCAATATTCCAGCAATATCACCGGAAATGGGCTTCACACACTGTACACATGAATGGAGTCGAACCCGGGTCACTTTCGATCACTTTCACCACTATTCTACCCACCACCCCACATTTCCTAGATTATTCCAACGGAAGAATTTATCAGAGAGATGAGCACACGCACGCACGCAAATGGTTTCTCTATTAATTTTCTTTTACGTCACTCCCTGCATTATTAATGCACCTCATTTGACAAAAAGCCCTATACACTCCATTTTGGATATTGCATCCATGCTTGTCCTTCGTCGGTATTTTGTGTCTCTTTAAATCTCTGCAGCTTTACAATGGTATGCATGCCAGCAGACAAATGACGGTCGTCGTTAGATAATCTTGGTCTTCATCAACCCCAGCTTATTGTCAGTACCGACTAACAGGACAGGTTGATTGGGCTGGATGACGTTGTTGATGCAGCATCTTATCTCGATGACGTTGTTGATGCAGCATCTTATCTCGATGACGTTGTTGATGCAGCATCTTATCTCGATGACGTTGTTGACGTTGTTGATGCAGCATCTTATCTCGATGACGTTGTTGATGCAGCATCTTATCTCGATGACGTTGTTGACGTTGTTGATGCAGCATCTTATCTCGATGACGTTGTTGATGCAGCATCTTATCTCGATGACGTTGTTGATGAAGCATCTTATCTCGATGACGTTGTTGATGCAGCATCTTATCTCGATGACGTTGTTGATGCAGCATCTTATCTCGATGACGTTGTTGATGCAGCATCTTATCTCGATGACGTTGTTGATGCAGCATCTTATCCCAGTTGCGTAAATCGACGCCCATGATGCTCATGATTGATTGTCTAATCCAGACTTGATTATTTACTGATAACGTCCATAAAGCTCGACTATTGCCGAGTGCGGCGTAAAACAACAAACAAACAAAATCTGCGTCTCTCGAAGTTCGAGTCACGATGATGTGGTCGTAGACTACGGTATGTCGTAATCTGGAGTTTCAAGCTACCGACGTCCACATAATTGCCTTGTATCAGTGTCCCGACCCACAGAACGTTCGTAATGTTACGACCTGTCGTAACTCTATAGTTTATCATAGGCTTACGAATGTCGTAACGCTACAAGCGTTTTGTGGATCGGGACCCATTCGTGACCAATTCGTGTTGTTCTGGGACAAGCCGAATAGCGACTCGTGCCCCTCTGGAAGGATTTCATATTGGCGCATGAACATCAGAACTACTTTAAACAAGAACGATAACTCTATCCCTGTTTGATTCCAATGTTTCTAAAAATCACCGAAGCACACGTACATTGTATTGCTATGTTGTTGTTATTTGGGGGTGTGTGTGTGTGTGTGTGTGTGTGTGTGTGTGTGTTTCCACTTATTTATTTAAAGAATTAAACCTCTTTGATACAACTAAAAGAAGGAGAAAAACATATTTGTTAAAGACATATCTCTCACCGTCAATCGCATGATTCTTGTTAAAAACTTTATAATAGGCAGCAAAATCCTTTTAGCTACGTTCTTTGTACTTTCAATATGACGATATATATTTTTCATGATTTTTTAAACAATGCCATAATGCCATAAACGATTTAAGTACTCGGGATTATTTTTATCAAAGCACCGCGCTCATTTACGCGCGTTCTGATTGGTTTGTCGTATTTTCGCACATAACAAGTATCGAGTGGGGGACGAGTCTTCTTGGAGGTTACGGAAAGGGGGGAGTGGTGACGAATGGATCGGGACCCTGGTTTCTATACAGACCGCCCTCATTTAGCTGGATTATTGCTGTGTAAGGCGTTAAACAACAAACCAACCAAAACTTTTATTCTGGGTTCGATTCCTGACGCAAGTTCGATGTCTGAAACCCATTTCCGATATCCCCATATCGCGATACTGTTAGGAATTTACGAAAACGCGCTTAAACCTTTACTCACTAATCGTGATGCGCCAGCACTTCTGCAATGTGAAGATGTGGTTTATGATCAAGGGGAGATAACTGCAGAAGAACGGTCCGCGGTGTCGACAATTGGAGACTTCAGCCGATGTGCCAGAATCCAGTATGCTCAGCTCTATACGTGTGTTAGGTCTTACCTGGGATGGATAACTTTCAGTTTGGATTTTTGGGCGCATATTTCATTCAAAATTAGGGCTACACTACAAATCAAATTTGATTTGATTGATTCATAAGTTAGTTAATTATTCGTGGTACGGCTGATTCTACCCGTGAAGGTCCGGTTTAGAATTGATCTTCAGTAACCCATGCATCCTTGTCGTAAGAGGCGACTAACGGGATCTGGTGGTCACCCTCACTGACATGTCATCGAATCCCAATTGTGTAGACCGATGCTCATGCTGTTGATCACTGGATTGTCTGGTTCAGACTCGATTATTTACAGACCGTCGCCATATAGCTGGAATATTGCCGAATGCGGCGTAAAACTAAACTCTCTCACACTCTTACTGTAGCTGATTTTCATTGCGCGCGAGTTGTTCGCATGAGTGAGGCCACTACTTCATGGAACGAAAACAACGACTATTTTAAGACATTATATGATAAAGTTGGGAATTTAATCGTATACATGACTGATGCAATACTTTCCCCAGATGTCGTTGACATTCACCGGTGACGCCGATGGTAACGGCTTCAACGTGGACGTGACGGGTATGAGCAAGAACATCAATCAAGTATGGATCAGGTTGGTTGCGCCGGCTGGAGAGAGAGTCTACGGTGGAGGGGAACAGTTCTCCTACTTTAACATGAAGGGACATTCCTTCCCCATCTGGACACGAGAGCAAGGTATTTGTAGGACCTTATGGAGCCATTGCAGTTAATCTGTCCTATGTGTTCTGTTTCTTATGTCCCGCCCGCTCTGATCCCGAAGAGTGGGCGGTGGGGTAACCAAGTGGTTAAAGCGTTCGTCACGCCGAAGTCCCGGCTAAGTGAATGAGATGGTGTTTAGTTTTACGCCGCTTTTAGCAATATCCCAGCATATCACGACGGGGGACACCAGAAATGGGCTTCACATATAATCATGTTGGGAATCGAACCCGGGTCTTTGGCTTTTCGAGCGAACGCTTTAACCGCTAGGCTACCGCCCCAGCCTTAATCAGGAATCAAAGACCACTGGAAATTTCGTATATATCACAAGCATGTCAAATAGTGATGATACCAGATGAAAACTCCAAAATCTAATACCATATATTTCAGGATACAGGATTCGCTACTTATTATAAGTTGACTTTGTTGACATGTCATCGTATTCTTCATGATGTTGATCACTGGATTGTCTGGTCCAGACTCGGTTAAGCAAACAAACTTAATATAACTGCTTATTCTTTGCTCTCGTCCTTGTGTTGGGTTGAAGTAATCTGGCTACCGAAGAAAAACATGAAGGTTTTACTCCTGCCGCCATGTCGGTTGGCTGGTATGTTTGTTGTTTAACGCTGCACTCAGCAATATTCCAGCTATATGGCGGTGGTCTGTAAATAATCGAGTCTGCACCAGGCAGTCCAGTTATCAACATCATGGCCATCGATCTACGCAATTGGGATACGATGACATGTGTCAACCAAGTCAGTGAGCCTGACCACCCGATCCCGTTAGTCGCCTCTTACGACAAGCATGGGTTACTGAAGACCACTTGTAACCCGGATCTTCATGGGCTCCTGCTGCCATGTGTTGAGAAAGGAGGTAGGGAGGTTCTAGTCCATAATATTTACCACAGATTATCTTCTCTTGCAGGTGTGGGGAGAAACCTCAGTACCCTAGCCACGTTCATGGCCAACAACCGCGATGGCGGCGGCGGAGACTATCACACGACGTACTTCCCCCAGCCGACTTTCATCAGCTCACGGAAGTACTACTTTCATTACACTGGAAGTAACTACGCAAAACTCGATTTCAGTAACTCGTATCACGAGATCTCGTTTTACGAGACTCCCATTGGTACAATGAGGTTTGCCACAGCACCGACCTTGAAGATTCTTGTCAGCGGGCTGATATCAATGTTGGGTAACGTTCCTGAGCTGCCTGACTGGATCTATGACGGCGCCGTCATAGGCGTTCAAGGTGGCACACAGAAGGTATGCTGGTCGGTACATACAGGTTCCTCCGTAGTCAGTCTCGTAGTCCATGAACCATACTACTTCTCATCGTCCCTGAACAACCGTCCCTGAACCACACTATTTCTCATCGTCCCTGAACCACACTATTTCTCATCGTCCCTGAACCACCGTCCATGAACCATACTATTTCTCATCGTCCCTGAACCACAGTTCCTGAACCACACTATTTCTCATCGTCCCTGAACCACAGTTCCTGAACCACACTATTTCTCATCGTCCCTGAACCACCGTCTCTGAACCACACTATTTCTCAACCTCCCTAAAGTACCGTCCATGAAGCACAATATTTCTCATCGTCCCTGAACCACAGTTCCTGAACCACACTATTTCTCATCGTCCCTGAACCACCGTCTCTGAACCACACTATTTCTCATCGTCCCTGAACCACAGTTCCTGAACCACACTATTTCTAATCGTCCCTGAACCACCTTCCATGAACCACAATATTTCTCATCGTCCCTGAACCACAGTTCCTGAACCACACTATTTCTCATCGTCCCTGAACCACCGTCTCTGAACCACACTATTTCTAATCGTCCCTGAACCACCGTCTCTGAACCACACTATTTCTCATCGTCCCTGAACCACCTTCCTGAACCACACTATTTCTCATCGTCCCTGAACCACCGTCCCCAGACAACACTATTTCCCCCTTCCGCCCAATCCATTCTCCGACCCAGAATCCCTAAACGAACCAAATGTAGATCTCCCAGCTCACTCCTTTTTAATTAAAATGAAGTTATTTCGTCCGATAAAAAAATAGATATCTTCAGAGCCCCAGCTTTAGTTATTTATTCCGCTACCTTAATGTATTTGGTTTTGTTTGTCACGCTGCACTCGGCAATATTCCGGCTATAAGACGGCGGTTTGTAAATAATCGAGTCTGGATCAGACAATCCAGTGATCAACAGCATTACAATATGTCCTACTCAACTGGGATACAATGACATGTCAATCAAGTTAGCGAGCCTGACCACCCGATCCCGTTAGTCGCCTCTTAAGACAATCAGGGGTTGAAGTTTAATTCTAACCTGCATCTTCACGGTTACTAACCCATGTGGGGGTACAAACCAAGGCACTTTGCATGGTTTCATAGTCATCGGTGTAATGGCAGATCCTAATGGTTCAATTTGACAACTGATTTATAAGTCGGCGAAGATCTGATTCGATCTGGTCTTCTGCAACCCACGATTTTCGCATGTGGCGACTAATTTTAGTGGGATTGGGGACACAGTCTTGCTGACTTAGTTGATGCGTGTCATCGTATCCGATAAATGAAGATTGACGCTATCACTGGATTGTCTTTTCCAGACTGGATTATTTACAAACCGCTGATATATAGCCAGTATGTTGCTGAGTGTGGCGTCAAGCCACAAACAGATCAAACAAAATCTAAAAGCGGTTACTCTGTACTTGCTACAAATTTTGTGTACACTATGAATAGTCACGTGCACGAAAGCAGTTGCTAACTGGATACTTTGACAGTGGGGGCGGTGGGGTAGCCTAGTGGTTAAAGCGTTCGCTCGTCACGCCGAAGACCCGGTTCGATTCCATACATGGGTATAATTTGTGAAGCCCATTTCTGGTGTCCCCAGTCGTGATATTGCTGGAATATTGCTAAAAGCGGCGTAAACCTAAACTCAGTCACTCACTTTGACAGTGTTGGTCAAGATTCAGTTGGAACGGGTGGGGCCGAGTGAAACGGTATCCGGAAGTACAAAGTACCATTAAAACATTTGAGAAAAATTATTATAGGATATATCATATTACATTACACCTTCGCGGTTCATTTATTTCAGTTCGTTCATAATCCACATTATGTGATTTTATCCAAAGATGATGGATTACATAAATTTGGCGGAAGCTCATGGTCTGAAGGTGACTGGCGTATGGATACAAGATTGGTCCGGAACTATTACTACCACATTCGGACAGAGAGTCTTCTGGGACTGGAAGTGGAACCCCGATAGGTACCCAGGTAATCGATTATCCATTGATCCACCGATTATACCGGTAGATAATATATCGGGTATGTATATCCATATGTAGACTTGTTGATGATACCCTAGGGTTACTCTGTGAATTTTTTTAACAAATTCGGTTTATCTATCGCTGAGAAAATACTTGACTGTCAGAAACCGGTTCACGTTTTTGGTTCACGGTATTTATATCGGTACAATCGGTATATATATATAAACAAGATAATGAACATTGGTTGTCATAAATAATCTTTCAATGACTAACGTTTGTGTGTTTTGCATGTCGCTTTAATTGTTTGCAATTTGTTACAAATGTTTACAAGCGTTTCTGGTTTTGATATGTCGTACATAGCACAGCATGGCAAATTGTCGAATATCCCTATACAGTGGTACCTGTTCAATCAGAAACCTGTTAATTCCGGACAAGCATTGTTTTGCATGGTCCATATAGAGTGGTATATGTTTAATCCGATACCTGTTGATTCCGGACAGGCATTGTTTAGCATGCTCAATACAGAGTGGTACCTGTTTATTCCGAAACCTGTAAATTCCGGACAGGCATTGTTTCGAAATTTCAAGCGGCGATTTGAATGAAAAGATGTCCGACTTAAAAGGATCAACACTACAGGGAACATAGTTTATAAATTCACTTGTCTTCTTTGACAGGTCTGGACGAGTCAGTCAAGACACTCAAGGCCCGTGGTATCCACGTCTTTGTGTACGTCAACCCGAACCTCAACGCCAATGGGACTTTGTTCAAGCAAGCAGACGCTAAGGGCTACTTCATACAGAACTCTCAGGGGAAGACCCTGGTCCAGAATTTCGGCGAGTTCTACTGCGGCACCATAGACCTGACAAACCCAGAAGCCTTTGAGTGGTACAAGAATGGTGTGTATCCATAGCAACGCCCGTCAATCTGCTCTGCTTCGTCCGGGGTTTTGGGAGGCTGATAAATTGAAGTGCTATGAATAGTTTACGTTGTAGTGCCTCAATATAAAATAAAAAAAATTAATTGATTAATGGGAATGTTGTTAATAAATATGCAAATGTCTCTCGTAATTATTAATATTGTAACTAAGTACGTCATAAACTGGATATGTTAATTTAGCTGATCAATGAGAAGATTGATATTTCGGTTGGTTATTCTTTAATTGATAAATGTGAATGTTGTTAATAAACATGTATATATCTCATGTAATTATTAATCTGTGCATCAGTTAAGTTCGTGTACTCTCTTAATTACACATCGTATACAAAAGCAGTCGAAGGAGTGTCATACATCTGCGAAAAGCTACATGGACTCGTTTCACTAGTAACACACTCAAAAGGGTACGGTTGATTTTTTAAACATGTTTGCCCACTATAGCACGGCGTAATTATTTATCGGTTTGGCGACACCTTCCAAATATCGGGGCGGTGGGGTAGCCCAGCGGTTAAAGTGTTGGCTCGTCACGCCAAAGACCCGGGTTCGATTCCCCACATGGGTACAATGTGTGAAGCCCATTTCTGGTTCCCCCGCCGTGATGTTGCTGGAATATTGCTAAAAGCGGCGTAAAACCATACTCACTCACTCACTCATTCACCTTGCAATGGGTCCTGTTAATCGCGGATCTGAATTAAGGGACCTTTGTAAAATGTTTATAAATAAATTAGGTATGTGTTGACGGTTGTCAGGAACATCGTTGTACACTGGAACTTCTTCGTTTGTTTCAGAGATACTGATCAAGAATGTGATAAACTTTGGTTTTGGTGGCTGGATGGCCGACTTCGGGGAATATACCCCTGCCTACGCGACGCTGCACAACGGCACGGCGACCATGAGGCACAACGAATGGCCCACTTTATGGGCCCGCATGAACCGTGAGGCTCTACAGGAGACGGGCACGGAAGGCGATATTGTTTTCTTCATGAGGGCAGGATTTACAGGTACAGTATTACCAGATAACATTTAGAATTAGTCTTTATCAACAAAGTATGGAATCATAGAAGGGACATTTTTGCATTGTCGCCCTCACAAAAACAAGCGAAAAGAGGCAAAATTAACGAAAACGCGACAATGTCCCTCCTAGGATTCCATAACAAAGGTTTCTCATAAGAAACAATTGTCTTGATCAGCTGGTCAAGCTTGCTAGTTGACACATGTCATCGTATCCCAATCAAGATGGTCGATGTTCATGACGTTAATCACTAGTTTGCTGGTCAAACTCGATCGTAGACAGACCACCGTCATATAACTAGACTTTTGTTGAGTTTGGCGTTAAACAACTCTCGTACTTTGCGATTAAAAGAATATTTTCAGTGTGGCGTTAAACAACAAACATTATCGATGTCAGATTTCATATTATACTGAGGACAAATGCGAAAGAACACCCGATTTCGTCACAGTTGTTAATCTATATCAATATGATTAGCTATACCAATATGAAAACATCGCATGGTTGTAAACACTTCAGCAATATTTATACTGTGATATCATATTGTGAAGGTACTTTAGTACTTGAGGTGTTGGGGAAAGACCCGTGAAGATCTGGGTTGAAATTGGTCTTCAGCAACCCATGCTTGTCGTAAGAGGCGACTAACAGGATCGGGTGGTCAGGCTCGCTGGCTTGGTTGACACATGTCATTGTATCCCAATTGCGTAGATCGATGCTCATGCTGTCTATCACCGGATTGTCTGTTCCAGACTGTATTATTTACAGACCAGCGCCATATAGCTGGAATATTGCTGAGTGCTGCGTTAAACAACAAACAAACAAACAAAACAAACATACTTTGGTGAACCCACTGAACTGGTATTGTGCTGGGTAACAAGCAATCATCACCAGGGAGAAACTTAAGTTGCATCATTATGAAATATATTAGTCGTGCAAATGCATTTTCTCATATTATATGCACCTGTTTCGGAGGTGTTGCAAACTTATACACACGATACAATCTTTTTTAATTGGCAGTACTACTCATGAGTGTATGTGACCGATATGTTATAGACATTCCTAATATCTGTTTGTGTAGTACCTCTCTGCCTGGTATGGTGTAATTGTGAAGGACACACTGACAGCCTTACATTCACATTGACCCATCTATGACATGAGGTCATGCGGTGTCGTGTTTCTTCTCACATGGTATCTTCCTGAGGCAGGGGAGGTAACTGACTATAGCTGTAGAAACTACACTCTTGCTGTCAGTTCTCTCCCTTGCCTTGTCACATGGTAGTGAACAGTCGGTATGACCGAAACAGGCGCCGACTTACACCGTGTGCTGGATGTAAAAAACGCGAGAGCACGCTCATGTTAGAATATTTTACGCGTGCATCGTCCAAGATTAGTTCGAGCTGCTCCATGTACATGTCACACTGTCACGTGCCCTGAAAAACATTCCACAAAAGTATTGTATTTCCGCGACAACCTTGACACATAAGCGTTAACGTTGATAATCAACGCTGAGATCGCGTTGTGGAACAAGCCACTCTAGTTCTTTGCGATTAAAAGTAAAAATATCTTTTGGACTTATCTTTAAGTTTGTGCCCAAAAATGCGCATGGCGACTTTTGCCTTTGCATATTTTATAATTACCGCCATTGTTATTAATGTCCTATTTCGTATTATTACCGTAGTCCACGTCTTTTGATTATTATACTTTCATTTTTTTGAAAAGATGTCTCTTTGAGGCAGAAAGATGTTACTTGGGTTGACACTGTTCGGACAACGATCGACAGGGGTACTGTGATACTGTTTATATAGTAGTCAAGTAATTACTTTTATTATTTTTATTATTATTATTATGGATGTTTAGGAACCGGCAACTACAGCGTCATGATGTGGGCAGGGGACCAGAACGTTGACTTCAGCTACGCAGATGGACTCGCCTCAACCATACCCGCTGCCCTATCGATGGGAATAACGTCACACGGACTCACCCATTTCGACATAGGGGGTTACACTACCGCTTCTGCAATGGGTATGGTCCGGACTGAGGAGAGGTTGCTTCGCGGAGCTGAACATGCAGTGTTTGGGCCCATGTTCCGAACTCACGAAGGTAGAATGAAACATTATGCTATATTCACAATGTATATGTCCATTCTCTTTCCGTGGTGTAGTGTTTAGAGCATATGTCCGGAGAGCGGAAGGTCGCCGGTTCGATCCCCGACCGCGTCATACCAAAAGACGTTAAAATATGGTACTTGTTGGTCCCTGTCTGGCGCTCGGCATTAATGGGTAGGGGTACAACAAGGACTGGTCGGCTCGGAGTCAGTATAATGTGTCTGAGTGGGGTATTCATGCTTCACTGCGGCTTGGTATCTCAGTGGGCTAGCACTATAAAACCAGCTTAAGTCTGGGCTAGTACAAGCAGCCGCACTTACACATACACACGCATGCACTTCGTCATATGAGCGAAATATTCTCCAGCGCGACATTGTCACAAGAATCTGTCTCAAAGTTACAAAAAATACAAAATACTGCAGCTCGAGTTGTGTGTCTTGCTCCAAAGTTTGCACATATACAGCCACTTCTACGATACCTACACTGGTTGCCCATCTCAGCTAGAATTGAGTTCAAAGTTCTTGTACTCGCATACCAGTGCCTTAACGCTATCGCGCCATCCTGTTTGTGTGATCTTGTAAGCCAGTATAATCCAACTAGAACTCTCAGATCCCAGTCCCAAATTCTGTGCACAGTGCCCAGATACAGACTAAAACGATTTGGATTCAGATCATTTGCCTACCAATCAGCTGTTCTATGGAATTCTCTGCCTGAAGACCTCAAAACAGCCCCACGCCTGCACTCCTTCAAAACTCTTCTCAAAACGTTTTTATTTAAGAAGTACTTTGTCTAGACTCTCACCTAAATAACTTATGAGCATACCAGCTGGCGTGGAGATTGGCGCGTTACAAATTCACTCATTATTATTATTAAACCCAATTTCACCTCACCTCACCTTTCAAGGGCTACAGTGGTGGTGTTTTCGCCTTGTGGTTGAAGCGTTCGCTCGCCACGTCCAAGACCCGGGTTTGATTTCCCACGTCGGTCAATGTGTGTAGCGCATTTCTGGTGTCCAACGCCATGATATTGCTGGAATGTTGCTAAAAGTTGCGTAAAACTAAACTCACTCTCTCAATGAATACATTGGACCTTTTCGTAACACTGGATACAAGTAATTTTGTAAACAATGATATTATACTATGTACTTTGCCATAACATATTTCAGAAACTTTTGAGATCGCATTAAATTGTTGGGGATTCTTGTACTGCTAGTGTTATATCTATATCTTTGAAGGAGGACTGTCGTAGATAACCAGATCTACGTAGACACGTACGTGTTCTGTGGTCTGTTCTCAGTGGACAGGGGAGACGGTCAGCTTCAAGTTTATTGAAACTGTATTATTGACGGAATATTTCCTCAGATACCTAGACATGTTATATTGCGAAAGGGTGGAAGAGATGAGGACATTTGTTTTCTTTTTGTCATCCGTTTCTGTAAAAAGAAAATCTGTCCTAAAACATAAAATGATTTCAAAACGGCCATTACTATGGAATCCTAGAAGGGAAATAGTCGCGTTAAATGTCCCTTCTAGGATTCCATACATTACACACATTCAGAACTGAAATCAGCTTCTTTTTCATCGTATTTGTACAAATACATTGCATGTTAATTTGCCGGTTCAATTCTTTTTTTCATTTTGTTCAGGAAACCAACCAACTGCCAATGTCCAGTTCTACTCCAACAAGTGGATTACCGTCAAGATGGCCCGTCTCTGTCAAATGTTCACTCTGTTGAAAAACTACAGCAAAAATGTCGTTCGCGTGACGTCACAGACAGGAATCCCAGCGCAGCGCCCACTATTATTGAACTACGAAGATGACGTAAATACCTATGACGTCACTTATCAGTATATGTACGGAGATGACCTTTTGGTCGCGCCGGTATTTTTAGCCAATCAGACAAAGTGGGACGTTTATCTGCCGAATGACCAAAGTTCTAACTGGATCTTCCTTTGGACTGGCAAGGAATATCCAGGCTCCCAAACGGTCACGGTGGACGCTCCAGTAGGTCAGCCTCCGGTGTTTTATCGGAAGATATCCCCATATGCTGCAGTCTTCCAGCAGATCGGAAACTTCTCTTTGGTGGTCACCCCAACAACCCCAACACCCCCTCAACCCACCGGTCACCGCATTAACCCCTCAACTTGCTCGGCCGGATTCATCACATTTTCATTCGCACTGGGATCTTTATCTCTGTTCTTTGCTCTTAAAGCTCTGTTTTAAATGTGTTGTGATTCATATTCAGATAGGGTATTCGTGTTTGACTGAAGACTTGCAGGTGCAGTATCTACCCAGGATGTACTGAACGTTATGACGTGGAATTGGTCTAGCGGACCACGACGTCGCCGCGTCTGGCTGTTTGGTCGAATCCTGCATACACCCCTGTTATGTTCTTTCGGTTTGTCAGGGCAATATCGGCGTTCATTGTTTTTGCCACAGTGAGTGAGTGAGTTGAGTTTTTCGCCGCTTTTAGCAATATTCCAGCAATATCACGGCGGTGGACACCAGAAATGGGCTTCACACAATGTGCCCATGTGGGGAATCGAACCCGGGCCTTGGGCGTGACGAGCGTACGCTTAAACCACTGGGCTACCCCACCGCCCCCCACAGTGGTACATGTAAACACACTGCATTACTACGGGTTTCCTTTGAAATCATCCATATTTATGTATCAATAAAATTCAATGTTGCCTTAAAAGTCATATCTCCGGTGAGTGTCCCTGATATGTCATACTGTTTGTGTACTACCCAAAAGAAGTTTCTTTGATATTAAAAAATAATATGAACAAACGGGTGTTCATAAACTTCTTTTGAGAGTTAATCGTGAAGACCCAAGTTAGAATTGGTCTTCAGTAACCCATGCCTGTCGTCGAGCGATGACTCATGTCATCGGTACCCAATTGCGTAGATCGCGATCGATGCTCATGATGCTGTACACCGGATTGTCTGGTCCAGACTCCATTATTTACAGACCGCCGCCATATAGATAGAACATTCCTGAGTGCGGCGTGAAACTAAAGTACCCACTTTTGAGTATTATATATGCTTGTACATTATTTTATGTATATATGTTATCAGTTTAGTGTGTCTTAGAAATTCGAAGTGCAGCTTCTGCGCCAAGTGTGAACGCGCAGAGTAACGACCCAAAGACGTTTCTGGAACAAATATCCAGATCTAGAGGTTTCTTACTTTTTTAAGTTCACAGGGATAATGTGAACAACACAGATGCTGTTAGACTGTTTGTTTGTTATTTATGGCCACAGAAAGCAAGGTTCCAGCTTTATCATGGCGATCTGTATATGACCAAATCTGGATCACACGAACCAGTAGTAGATAGCATGTAGAACGCCCCAAACCGTTGGGGTACGATCACCCAACGTGCCTGTTGTTGACCTGAACTACCTCACCTACACACCCTGTGTATCATACATGTTTACCATTTTGGTGTTCTCAAAGAGAGGAAAACTTAACATATGTTATATTTGGGATTACACCTTCTTATAAGTACTTGTGTTGGGTTGAGTCCCATCCGGAATTCGAACCCACACCCTCAGAGTCAGGCACCTAATCGCCAGGACACAAAGTCAGTGAAATGTCAAAGAAAGTGTATTCCCAAATATAACATATGTTGCATTTGACCACTTTCTAAATGGCATTGTGTATTCAGGGAACCCTCCCCTGAAACATGAAAGAAAACGGTGTTTTCTTCAAGAAATCCGGTGAACAATTATAGCTTTAATGCCACACTCTCTCCAGTATTCTTCGTGTATATTCCACTTCATATTTTTTTCAACATATGTGATACATTGTATTGCATAATTTAAGTATGCTCAAGAATGATACCCTAAAGCAAAGCGTCTATCTAAACAAGGGCTTGAACACTGATCACATGTTATTAAGTCATCATGTATCATTCCGAAACAGTTTTTTTGTGAATAGTAACGTGAGGATAAACAGAACATACCAGCAACTGAAACCACGGGGGTTCGAATCACTGTTTGGACAACAATTTTTAAATATACAAATCTAGATTTTTGCAACCGTATATTGTTGTGTATTTTATGTGATGAGTGTAGCGGGAGAATTTTCTAAAAAATCCATTTCTTCACCGATTTCGTTCAAATCTGAAATATAAGTTACTCATAACATATAAAAACAATAAACGGTTGCAAAAATCTAGATTTTTATTTTTAAAAATTATTGTCCAAACAGTGATTCGAACCCCTGTGACTGAAACCCCCGATTGTGATTGCAATTACAGAAATTAAATGTATACTCATGCCAATAATGGTTGTCACCCCCTTCATTTTTTTTTATTGGCGAGAGGGTAGGGGGTTGGGGTGGGGAGGGGATGTGACAACCATTATTGGCATGAGTATATTAGTTTCCTTTTTTAGACTGACATTTGTGTGATTCAATGAGACATGTTTTTTTGCATTTGTGTAGTTATTTATTGAAAGGGATAAGTATACGACGAGAAGGGAATACGGCGCATTATGCCTTAATCAGTATGAAAAGAGCGCCCGGAATGGAGGATTTCCTGATTAGCGAGGTGATGGGACAATAGAGTGTACACAACACAGGTTCTATCATTCACTCAGACCTTTAACACTGTGTCGATGTCCACAAGGCGTCCATAGTGTCAAACCTAACCTCAATATTGACTTACAACAATCGTACTGCTAAGATCACGGGAAGTCAGGCTCGCTGACTTGGTTGACACATGTTATCGGTTCCCAATTGCGCAGATCGATGCTCATGCTGTTGATCACCGGATTGTCTGGTCCAGACTCGATTACTTACAGACCGCCGCCATATAGCTGGAATATTGCTGAATGCGGCGTAAAACTAAACTCAGTCACTCACTAAGATCGCTTTGTGAACGAAAACTGGACAGTTGCGCAATCTGTTCCTTTTTTCCATTCCGTCAGTATATTATGTAAATACATAAATGAACAAAGTGTAACTAATCGTCCCTTGCCTTTTATTCTTCACAACATAAAGCTACCACATGTGTGATAAGTTCCTATAAACAAGTACACGAATGCTTCTAATTATTCAGCATATGTACACAGAACAACGTTCAGTATTTAATACGAAGCACGTGGTTCACTGTGCAAGGTATATATACACCAATGTTGAGTAGAGTGTCTACATTTGTTGCTTTGTAAATTAGAACAGTAAAATTTTATGACAGTTTTCTTTCAATCGTGATAAGATTTGGTATTTTATCAACCAACCCAATCCAACTTTATAAACAATGTGAAGTAGTGTTTTTAACTTTGTAGTCTTGTAAATAAAAACAATAAATAAATTTAACAGTTTTCTTGCAGTCGTGTTACGATTCTGTATTTTATCAACCAACCCAATCCAACATAGTAAAACAATGTGAAGTAGTGTTTTACATTTAGAGCAATAAATAAATCTAATATAACAGTTTTCTCGTAATCGTGTTAAAATTCCGTATTTCATCAAACAACCCAATCCAACGTTGTGAAACAATGTACAGTAGTATTTTCACCTTTGTAATTTTGTAAATTAGAAAAATAAATAAATTTCATACAACAGTTTCCTTGTAATCGTGTTAGGATTTGGCATTATTTCAACCAATCCAGTCCAATGAGTGTCAATCAGTCACGTCACGGACCGAACCACTTGACAGTGGTCACTGAAGGTCTAGTGTGACCTGTCTTTATCTCCCTTGCTTCACGGAATTGTATACACTACTTTCCTAACAACCCTTGAATACATATGGCCGCCTTGAAGCGTATTCAGTTCTAACCAGAAAATTAATCCACATTTTGGATCCAGACACCCAGCGAAAAATACCAACAAAATTCATGTACATCTGTTTTAGTTCTTACATGGGGGTCATTTCATTTTTGGCTCAAAATAGACATACGTCACAACTAATCCACAAAAACAGCCATGTGTATTCGCGGGCGATGAACGGTGACGTGAATGCAAGCCCGTGAAGTCCTGATCAAGACGAGTCCAATGTAAGGTGTTCTTCGACCCCGACCCCATTACACATTCCTTGGGGGTGCGGCAGGATTACCCCATGCAGGCCGGGGTCCCATCGCAGGAGCAAGGCCCGGAGAACTGACACTGATTTCGAAGTCAGTGGCGGAGAGTTGGAACGGGTTATCAAACATGCATATAATTCTCCACAGATGAACAGGCATGTACTGGCGGTTGATGAAGACTGTCATGGTGGCGATGTGTTCGCCGCGAATTCGGCTGACTGTTCGCTCGACCCTGTAATATGGTTGCATGGTGTTGATCTCGTTCTGGTAGGCGTAGTTCTCGAACATGGTCACGTGGGGAAGTGGGCGTCCGCGAGCGGCACAGGTCACGGTTACCTGGAACAACAAGTTCACAGATGAGTTGGGGTATTGAACATATGTACCGTCATATAGCGTATGACAGTATGACAAAACATTTAAACGATATATCGAACAGCAAGTATGTTGTTTAACGCCGCAATCACAATATTTAACCTACATCGGGGCAGGCTGTGAATTGTTTCGTCAGGGTCAGCAAATGAACCAGCTCATCGCAAACAACCTCACTGTCGGGAACAGACACACGTGCATCCAGCTTAGTGTCTCAATATACATAGGCGGATCCAGAAGGGGGGTGCGCACACCCCCAACCCCCCACCCCTTTTGTTCTGAATTTTTATTTAATGACCATTGAAACTCGGGTGAAAATGAAATGTGCACCCTCCCTTTTCTCAATAGTATGCTGTATCCGCCCCTGAATATATATATAACATTGATAGAAACAAATAATTTCCATTTAAACAAAAAAAGAGCCCCAGTGAGTTGGGGGAAATATGGGAGAAATAATAGAACCCGGGGAAATCTAGAACTGCTTCATTCAGGGGTTAAGTATGGCAGGGAGGGCTAGAAGAGAAATAAAGCGGTTCAGGGACTGTGAGACAGACTAGCAAACCGCCCTTAAGACGCTGGTTTAGTGAGTACGTACTGTTTCTGGTCCGTACACGACGCCGGACGAGGTGTTGACGTACTCCACGGGCTCGCTCAGTAACAACGACGTCCTCATCTCTGTATGCTTGGTGCCGCTGAAGGCGACGCAGACATACTCCCCCTCGTCCTCCTCCATCATCTGCTTGATGCCGTAGTGGTTGTACAACATGTACGGCTCGCGCACTTCCAGCTTCGGCAGCTTCACCTCCATCAGCGACTTGTCAATCTGCACCTGCAATACGACATGGATATGGTGAACGCTGGTCGATATATTTGACATCATGAGTGGTGAACGCTGGTCGATTTATTTGACATCATGAGTGGTGGACATCGCCTATACAGCCAGGACGCATGTATCGGTACACCTACACTGACCCCTGATCCATTTCCATAGTTCTCACAATCTCAAATAACCTCCCCTATCCATTGTCCACTTGCACTGGCCACGCTACTAGTGGTGGTCCGATTAATTGAAATAATCGAAGATTGGTCGTAGTGACTAAACGACCAAGCAATCCATCATAATTTCTCATAATCGAACACAACCAATTTTGGAACACTTGTTTTCATTAACAGTATTTTTCACAGGGTTGGTTTTGTCTGTTACATTTTGTAAACACTACAAACTCGTTTCAAGTCATGATTGAATTTATCTTAAAGAAATTTATGTTCCTAACATACTAGACATCCTTTAAAGATGTGAAATTTTGCCAAAAAGCCCCAAAAGAACTACATGTTTTTTTCCTTATTTTTATGTGCATTAACAAATTTCATAAATGACGCTAACCAATTATTTTTGATGATTGATCGGTTGTAATGAACCAATCATCAATTATGAGATATTAACCAATTCCCAACACTACACGCTACAAGGTCTGACATACCAAACAAGACGAATTACAAACCAGAATCAATGTTGGGGTGACAATATCACTATCAAGTTCAATTGATTATGAGCGGGTTTGCGAGCGTACGCTTTAACCCACTAGGCTTCCCCACCACCCTGTACCCGTACGACGCGTCGAACCCAGGATTGAGTAAGTCTTACTTTGTATAATCGGATGCGTTCTGGGACGACACCAACAGCATGGCAGGCGATGGAGCAAGTCTGGTTGGAGATGCACGGTTTGAGAGGTGGGTCACGTCGCACGAAGGCAATGAAGCCTTTAGGGAAGGGGTCGTACCTGTCGGAGCGGTGGACAAAGACATATCGCATCTCTGTAAGTCCAGTGAGGACAGAATCCCGCTCAGTAGCCGTGTAATATTTAGAGAAGATAAGGATACCATCATAATCACCCTTGTCCGTCATTAATTCATACGTAATCTTCAAATCAGACCCAATGTCGTTTTTCTTCAAGGTTCTGATGGGCCCCACCCTAACCACGCCCCCCTGGATCTCTCTCCACTGTGGGTATTCCTCTATGACTTGGGGGACGGCGGTAGTGTTGGCCATCCAGAAGCTCCACTGATAGTCATTGGGGGAGGTGAACCCGGGGTAGAATTTGGGGGAGGACACTGTGATCTTCATTGCCTTCTTCTTGAAGTAGTTGAAGCTGCCATGAGGGCCGGCATCGACGTCGAAGTTGGTGGGTCGGAGAACGACTTCGGCGGTTTTGTTGGGGTTTGGTCTGAAGCTGAGGACGAAGGTGACGTGGTCGACTATGACGGAGGCGACGATCTCCTTGGACGGGTGGATACGAAGGGTGGTCGTACCCTTGCCGTTCCTGAAGACTTTGGTGATGATACCTTCGTCGCTGATAGCTGAATTAGAAAAAAATGAAATCATCTTGAACACAAACATATTACTTATAACTCCAAAGAAAAAACGTTTTTGATAAAGCTTCATTTCACCAAACAAATCAGTTGCGCAGTGATTGATGTGTCTGTTGTTAAAACAAATAATTTCACATCGATGTAGTTCATTTTGGACATGGAAGTGAAAATATCCCCCATTCATAAACTGTTTGAATACAAAGTACTGATTTGTGGCGTACGATACGGAGAATTCCACGGGGGTCCACGTTAAAACAGTGTTATATCAATAGTTTGATGTACAAAAATTAATCTGTAAAAAGATTCTAGGGGGGCAGCAATTATTGTTTAGTGAACAAAAGCAATATTTAACGCCCATAGGGAAAACGTTATTCCACAACCTGTTTTTCGTTTGAGGCAGTAACCCATAAAACGCACATTGAACTCCTTGTACGGGACACAATGACGCACATGATGCCCGATTGTACGTGACCCCGTGTCAAAGATGACAAATGAAGGACGTGTTAGTATCGTCACTTGACAACTACATATTACACCCTATTCATACTGCAGGGTCAAGTCTTATCAAGTGTTCTGCGCATGTGGAAATGACTGTTTTTAGCAGTTTTTGTGCTATACAAGCGGATTGACATTCCGAACGGATTTCATCCATTGTGCATGGGCGTTATTCATTGTGCATATGATTATAGCATAGAACCCGGACCGTCGGTGTTACGAGCGAACACTTTATCAACGAAGTTAAAAATGGACGAAATGTGTTTCTTCAATTTATTTCTAAGGTTTCTTCGGGTATGTCTGCTATATACTACTTAAAAATACACGATATATAAATACATGGATAGTCAAAGTGCAGTATTTAAGGTTTACTCTTCAACTATGAAATGGGGTAGCCTACTGGTTAAAGAGTTTGCCCGGGTTCGATTCCCTCATGGGTACAATGTGTGAAGCCCATTTCTGGTGATATTGCTGGAATATTGCTAAATGCGGCGTAAAACTAAACTCTGTCAGTATTATAATGCAATGAAACTGCGCAGATGGCACAGCTCTGCAGCATCTGACAATATGGGCATTGACTCGATCATGCCTCCAACAGTGATATACTTCCACGTTTCACAAAGCCACATTAGTGTCATGCGATCGTTGCTGCAATAGGGCCTATAAGTCTCGCGAGGCGCTACTTCCGGTACTAAGCTGGTTCTCGGCTCCCTTTACGTGCACCAACTTGCGATATCCGAGAGGGGTGCCCAGCTTACTTCCGGTACCAGATTTCAGGTGACAAGCGTATATTCAAGAACCAGTTCTGGTTCCAAATTGCGCGACCGCCAAATATGACTATTGACCGGACCATGTGTACAACCATGCTTGGCTGTCACAGCCGTTGACAGTCGTAATAGTTGGCTAATTTGGGGAAGGTTAGATAGGAAATTTGTTATTTCTGCAAGGATTATCGGACAACTGTGAGACAATTCGAAAAAAGTATGAAACGTTGATCGTCACCGGAAGTACTAATTTAAGGTCTCGCGAAGTGCCGTAACTTACACGTAACAGGTAGGACAGTCTATACGTAAGATCGCTTTTGTGAAACAGTTCCCTGATTGACAGCCCTGTGCTCTCTCTGTGCCTAATTTTCCCTTTTAATATAAGTTAAGTCGACTGTGTGTTGACAATGTACTCTACGCACACGCCCCAACCAAGAATACCCGGGAACAGTGCACTGCTATCGCCATAACTGTCTCGGGTCGGTTGCTGAAAATGTATCCATTCGCTCAGAATATTTACCAGGAATTCGCTAGTATTTTTGTGGGGCTGTTGTGTCTGTTTATTTTTGGTTTGTTATATTTTTTTGTGGTCAATGCACTAACACACCAATTGTGTTGTAAAATATTGTATAGAATTCTGCTTGAAATGAATACATGTAATGCAGAACTAACTCGAAATAAAAAACTTTTTCGAAATTACGATTTTTGTAAAGGGCTTTAAGGTGTTCTAAAGGTGTCAAAACCAAAAATATACATCTGTTATTAATTCTTAAACTGTAAAAATATTATCAGCGGAATAACCGATGGCGAGGCTTGCGTATTCTGGTAAAAAATAAACTCCCCGAAACTTTCAGGGATTGCTGCATTCGATTGAGTTAATTGATAGACGTACTAAACGGCTCAGAACACACATATGCCCAGATGGGGGAACGACAACAGAAGCACACGTCCGTATCAAGTCAAGTATGGGGAACATAATGTGCACTAATACCCCGGGTACTCGAGGGTGGGTTATCACAAGTATGTACAAACCGCCATCAAGCGAGCCCGGGGTGTCTTTCAGATTCTTTTGCGGTTTGCTGTTACCTACAGTTAGAAACAGAATGAATTCCATACAGTTTCAGATAATGTAATGACATGTTGTTTTGTTGTTTGTTGTTTAACGCCACACTCCGCAATATTCAAGCTATATGGCGGCGGTCTGTAAATAATCGGATCTGGACCAGACAATCCAGTGATCAACACCATGAACATCGGTCTACGCAATTGGTTACGATGACATGTGTCAACCCGATCCCGTTAGTCGCCTCTTACGACAGGCATGGGTTGCTGAAGACCAATTCCCTGCAATTATCTAGACTTCCTTTTGTGTGTAAGCCGAGGTGGCTTAGTGGGTTGGATCGCTGATTTGGGCGCTGACGATTAGGCGTCTCCCTCTGAGTGTACAATGGGATAGAACCTGTGATTCACTGAATGAGTAATCCCAATGTAACACATGTTAGAAACAATGAGCACCCAGTGTATCGTTCTACAAGCTGTGACCAACTACCACATCAACCATTTTGTTTCTGTTCATATTCTCTGTACTTTGCGCTAGTGTCATCGTTCACCCACAGACAGGCAGTGTGTTTGAGATAGCTAAAATGGCACCAGTATATCCGCTAAACCAAGACGTATTAGGCCATACCAGGTTTTAGAATGGCGTGAAGTTCGTGCAAGGTACAAAGGTTGCACAGCGTCACCTACCGGCAGGTTCTGTGTTGACTCTCCAGATAACTCGTGGTTCCTTAATGGCTTTGTATTCAATTGTGTAGACGGCACTATCCTTGGCAGGGTTGACCTCGACCTTTGCCTTAGTTGGTTGAAGATCCACAGGGTGTTCATACCCATTAGGCCCAGTCTGTAATATACACAAAACGCAGGTCACCTTTATATTCATCTGCTCATTTATTACACCAGGGTGGGCAGTGAATCCTTGTACAGATTTAATTTTACATTAAATCAAACTTTAACGCTTTCTGATGCCTTTTTCTCAAAGTTTCGTAAAGTTCGATCGTGTTACGCATAAATCTCAGAAAACGGTCATCAACGCCACAGTATCACGAAACCTTGTTGGTCAGTACCGTGTTACTAAAGAACAGCGGAGATTGTGGGATGGGTAGGGTTATGGCGATGGGGTAGCATAGTGGCTCAAGCGTTTGCTCGGCACGCCAAACTCTCCGGTTCGATTCCGCACATGAGTAGAATGCGTCAAGTCCATTTCTGGTGCCAAGCGCCATGATATTGGTGCATAATTGCTAAATCGGCGTAAAACCATACCCACTCACTCAGTCGCTACTGGGAATGATGGGCCCGGAGTAACGAGTTTTCGTGGTATACAGTGGACCCAGTAGCAGTCTTTCATTACAGTGTGGTCTCAATCTAAATCTTACAAATCGTCCCCTATTAAATTATTGCAATATTCTTATTCTATATCGTCAGTTTGCAATCCCATGACACAGGGTTAATCTAAAAAGTGGACATTCATTCAAGAAGGCAAAACGAATCCGTGAAGGGTTGCTGGACACTGTATGTGTGTAGAAGCAGTAATTACTCACCGATTTTAAAGCGGTCCACAATTTGTTAATTTCGTATTCCACATAGCCCTGGAAAGTGTTGAATCTCGAGAGTAATTGTTGTACTGTTGTTGAGAGCTCCCCCTGAAAAATAAACCGGAACAAATGTCACATGATATAATTAATACACCAGCATTGAGATGATGTTAGGGTATTAACTGACTGACTGACTGAGTTTAGTTTTACGCCGCTTTAAGCAATATTCCAGCAATATCACGGCGGGGGACACCAGAAATGGGCTTATCACATTGTGCCCATGTGGGGAATCGAACCCGGGTCTTCGGCGTGACGAGCCAACGCTTTAACCACTAGGCTACCCCACCGCCCTTTAGGGTATTAACACATTCCAATCATTGAAATAACAAGTTCATTGTTTACTTATGTAGCGGCCATAAAACCTCAGAGTCCCGTGCTGGGATTCGAACCACCGACCTTCTGAAGTCGGGCGCTCTGTCCAAATGACCAAAGAGGTAAACCCCGTCAGCAAGCTGACAAGGAAAGGATGTCACCTGTGGGATCAATGGGATCTATGGGCTACACTTACATTAAGTATTTTTTAATCCGGACAAATCTATTGGTTTATGGTTAAACCAATCACATCGAGCAAATATGTCCATTTTACGCAAAGCACTCACGTACACGGCTGGCCAGATTCAGCCATTTGCTCTACAGAGTTACCGGCCTTACGCGTTCTGGGGTTGGCTCCAAGCACGTGTTCTTCCAGATTATATCCATTGTTTTAACAAAGAGGATCAGGTCTGTGCTAATGGGTTTCACAAAGCGTAAGACTTCAAACCTCACATGTATCACCTAGATAATCGAACATCATCAAAGAATCGGGAGGGGCCGACATTTCCAGAAAAAAATGACATTGCGAGAAATAAAACATGTTATAGTTGAGATTGCATTTTCTTTTCAGTAAGGTACAGATTCTTGTACATTTGTTAGGTTAAGTCCCGTCCGGCATTCGAACCCTCAGTCTCAGTCAGGCACAAAATCGCCAGCACACAAAGTCAGCGCTCTAACCCACTCAGCCACTGAACGGGGCGGTGGGGTAGCCTAGCGGTTAAAGCGTTCGCTCGTCACGCCGAAGACCCGGGTTCGATTCCCCACATGGGTACAATGTGTGAAGCCCATTTCTGGTGTCCCCCGCCGTGATATTGCTAAAAGCGGCGTAAAACTAAACTCAATCGCTCACTCACTCAGCCACTGAACGTCACGTTAAAACAAGTACGTGACCTGGGTCTAGATGTTCGAAGCTCTCTTAGCGCTAAGATAGTCGTACGTGCCATACATTTACATTAACTTACGACTATCTTAGCGCTAAGAGAGCTTCGAAAATCTAGGCCCAGGACAAGTTGTCGGCTTCCTTTTTTGTCAGGAAACCTCGCTGGCTGAGTGGGTAAGATTGCTTGAGCTCTAACCTTTAGGTAACTTATTTTGAGAATGTGGGTTCGAATCCCGCCAGCCCAATAAGATGTATAACATGTGATTTACGGAGAAATCGAAAGAAATAATATAACATATGTTACTTTTGACCACATTCTAAATGGCGTTTCAGTCAAGGGACAGAGATAATTGACGCGCCAGAAATCCCAAAGATATAATGACACATCATGAGCAAAAGTTTAAATGAATGCATAACTTTATAAATTAGTGTTTATTTAAGAGCCATGTATAGAAATAAACATCATATAAACATCAAAAAGAACATGTTAAACATACATTAGTCCAAGGCCAAACAGACACTCTACTGTACGAGCATTACATGTTTCCTATCTGGTCAGCATAACTATAAATGTGATTCAGAGAACCAGAACAAAGAGAGGCTAAAATACCACGCAGGTAACGTGGGGTACGTACAAATAACAATTGTTGACAAATCTGCCATAGAAGCCTATAAATAACCGACCCTCAGACGTCAACCGATTCAGACAAGCATAAAATACTTGCGGCCTCTTCTCACGCTTTGTTTCCCCGTGAACGTGTATTCACCTACAATTGCCTTGCCTTTGCGTGCTTGTGTGACAAATACTACATACCTGTGAGGCAGGATATGCTCGCGTTTTCGAGAAACCTGTTGTCATCCGTTTTTTTACTGTTATTTCTAAACACATGGTTATGCTATAGTCGGAATTGTACAACGAACTTGTCATTTTCATTATTAATCAAGTCTATGTTTCGTCTTCATGTATATTTTGGAGAATATTTTATCACTCTAGCCCGTGGCTAGTATAAATCCAGTTGGGCCAGTAAATCTCAACAGTCACTGGCCCAACTGGCTAGTGAATTTTCATGGTGTCAATTTGTAAATATATCACCCTCTCTTGTTAAGTTATAATACACTTTTAAATCATGCACGATTATGGCCTGATTATATGTTCATCATAATAGACGCTTAATGATGAAACCCGTGTCTACATTCAAATTTCGGGCTAGTGAATTATTTTATGAGCTAGTAGATTCTAACTTTCAGGCATAGCTAGCCCGACTGGCTAACAAAAAATTGCAAACTATTTCGCACACTGACTAAAGAGGGGTGACGCAAAATAAACCAAGGCCAGCGTCTAAAATCCGTCCAAACCTCTTAGCTAGATATTCTTAAACTTAAGTATTATAAACGAATTATCTATTCATGATGGTTATATTCTAAATATAACATATTCATTCCGCATTTAATATTACAACCATATGTCAAATGCAACAGAAAGTATTTTACGACAAAATAGGTTCTGCCTTTGTCCTCAACATCACGATATGACTACATTGTCAGATGAAAGCTTTACTCATGTGATTATACGGTTCTCGACTCCATAAATGTGTCACACTTCGTATATCAATCTGATACGAGGCAACTATATGTGGATGTTCGTGTCTTGTAACTGTAGACTAAGACATGCAGTAGTTTACGACCAAACGTCGTGACTCAAACTTCGAGAGACGTTTTGTAATCTGTTGGACTATTGTGGACCTTGAGGGCATTCAAGTCAAAGTAAGTTATGAATGAGTTAGATTTACGCCGCTTTTAGCAATAACCAAGCAATATTACCGGGACCAACAGAAAGGGGTTTCACACGTTGTACCCATGTTGGGAATCGAACCCGGGTCTTCGGCGTGACGAGCCAACGCTTTAACCACTAGGCTACCCCACCGCCCCAGTAAGAGTAAGAAATACAGATATGCAACAAGTATATGCAAAAAGTATAGCGAACAGTATAGCAACTCATTAATAAGTCAGGAATAATGACACCGGCTACTGACAACCCAGTTGCAAGGACTACGATCATTAACCTAGATTACGATTAAGACACGGCCAAGGGACGCAACTTGGCAGCGTTAAAAGCGACATCTTCGATCACTATCCCTCAAGTAATGCTTCAAGGTACCATATATTATTGATAAAATTATGTTGGCATCGTTGCGGCGTAAACTCACATTCAGTCCATAGTTCGTTTTGTAAGGCAAGCGTTTGTTGTATGAAAAGCGTACTGAGGCCAGTTCTTCTGTTCCAAGAGGGCGGTGGGGTAGCCTAATGGTTAAAACCTTGTCGTCACGCCGAAGACCCGGGTTCGATTCCCCACATGGGTACAATGTAAAGCCCATTTCTGGTGTACCCCGCCGTGATATTGCTGGAATAGTGCTTAAAAGGGCGTAAAAATAAACTCAGTCACTCACTCACTCTGTTCTCAGAGCGGCATTTGTTACAGGAACAGGTAATTTGGTCATCATATGTGACACGGTATAATATGTGGACTAATATATATGTTTCCCATCGAAAAACATGTACAAAAATATTAATGGATAAATAATCACCACTTGAAAGAAATTTGTCCTCCGGGATTAGCACGCAAATATCAAACACAAAAATTAATCACCAATTTTCTGACGTCATATTTTGCTTAATACATCATTTGTAAAAATGCATGACATTATTCATTCTGAAAGCATGCCGTTTGACAGAATACACGCGAACAAGTGCATTTGTTATCATGGTGACGTGAGTTTTAAGCTTATATCTGGCTGATTTCTTGAGTAAACGATAATGAGCCATTCTATTTTACCCCGTCACGCTGGCTCGTGGAACCTCATACATTATACAATATAAGTTATACGACCTAACCATTATACGTTCACGAAGGCAGACCATCAATCAGTTGGTGGACACGTTGAGTCATGTGTTTTCGGCAATCTATCAAAGTCAGTCGCTTCTTGAAATTATAACTGAAGCAAACAGATAATTATTTTGTCATTTTGACACATATATTTTGTTGTTGTTGCTGTTCTTATGACGTTCCGCACGAAATGACAGAACACATAGGGATCACTGAGTCTATTTCTCCTTTTATTTGATGATGGGGAGAGGATTCTTGCTGAAGTCTTTTTAGAGACACGATATATATTCGGTTACTGTTTCAAAACACGCTGATTTTACGCCGCTTCCAGCAATATTCCAGCAACACCACCAGAAATGGACTTCACACATTGTACCCTAGTGCGGAATCGAACCCGGGCCTTTGGCGTGACGAGCGAACGCTTTAACCACTAGGCTACCCCACTGCCCCTTTCTGCAAAAGTGCGATCCGAACAATTCGGAATGCCATACAAACAATGTATGGATATGAATAAGTTTAAATGATCTTAGATGAGGTGAGGTGAAATTGGGTTTAACGTCGTACTTGAGAATATTTCGCTCATATGACGACGTGAATGCGTGTGTATGTGTATGTGCGGCTGCTTGTACTAGCCCAGACGGAAGCTGGTTTTATAGTGCTAGCCCACTGAGATACCATGCCACAGTGAAGCATGATACCCCACTCAGACATATTATACTGACTCCGAGCCGACCAGTCCTTGTTGTACCCATTTATGCCGAGCGCCAGGCAGGGACCAACAAGTACCATATTTTAACGTCTTTTGGTTTGACGCGGTCGGGGATCGAACCCGCGACCTTCCGCTCAAATTATCTTAGACGTGCAATGGCATTAAAGGTGTAACCATTAAAGAATTATTCCACTGGCGATTTCAGTAAATTTATTAGTATTATATACCGGTTAAAGTATATGAAAGCATCAAAGAGGGACCAT